CTGGCTCGCACTTTGGCAACACTCTTTGGCAGTCAACTCGCCCCTAGAAAACCCGCCCTTGAAAACTTGCCCCATAAAAAAATGTACACTTCCTAGACCATGCAGTCTTCAAAATAAAAATTGTAACCTTTGGTAATCAACTACATTTTCCACATACATAGAAATTTTCTTTATTTAAAAAAACCTAAGCCATAATTCACCACACTATAGACACTTTTTGACAAAAATGAAAAATTACGACTTTGTTACCCAATGAGAAGTGTTCTAATATAGACAATGGGTCATGTCTCATATTATTTGTTATACTTTTATTATTCATTATTTTCACTTGACTCGCATAAATAATTTTGTTCGAAGAACATTTATATGCAGTTGTACTTCGCAGGACTTCACTTGCAATTTGCAATTTCTAGTTTAATGAATGAATTTTATCAACATTATTTTTATTTGTTTTCTGTTTAATAATATTAAGGAACTTCCTTTATACTAGGTACCTAAACCAGCAATACATAAAGAAACAGCGCTTGAGTGAAGCAGATGTACAATATGGCTATGCTCTAGAAACAAACGAACAGCTGATGGATATAGGAGAGGTAACATAATAATTGATTTGATCAATTCTTTGCAAATAGCAAATAAACAGCCCAAATTTGGACAACATTATCAGTCATGGAAATGACTATCAGGGATATAATGCCAAAAAAAAATATATACTTGTTTAGCGTCACCACCCTACCCTGATTTTGTAGCCGCCTCTCTTATTTTTTTTTGTGTAAAAAATTATGACAGTCACCTAAAATATGCCGATAATCGAAAAATTATCATTTTTATTTCATCTTAAGCACCGGGAACAAGATGTGAAGTGCACCACCAACATTACAAGTGGTTTTTTTTTTCTGTATGTAAGTTTCGTAGTGATTGGCTTACTATCTTGGATCTTGCGCCTAGCCTATGATTTGCCTATGAAACTGGCCCCCCCCCCCATGCCTGAAAATTTCTGAGGGTGTGACGGAAAATAAGTATTTTTTTTTTTGGCCTAATGTGCATTCAATTCTGTAGCCATCAGCTGTGCTCTGGAAAGTCTAGTCACAGTTAATGTTTTGTAAGTCAGACTTTAGAATTGTCAATAAATGTTTGATAAATGCTTTTTGGTACTATTTGCAGCTTGCTCTAGATATTTGGAGAAAGAAGATGATACAGCCATTACAGCATCAGTTATTACACCTTACATTTAGGGAGATACGGAGGTTGGTTAATACACTAATTTGTTTCATTCAAGTTAAATTTTTAATTGATTATGTAATAGTTTACCATGATGTGGGTCTGCTTTTAGTATTCCTTTGAAATTTTATTTAGAACTAAACTACTTATTATTTTTTCAGTTCTTGTTTTGATTTTAATTAATGTCCCCCTAGAAAAAAGTCAACTTTTTAAACACGGATCTTGACCTTTGAGTTGGTTGTGAATTTATGACTGTAATAATCGTAAAACTAGATTTGAACTCGTCACTGAGGACGAGTTAGGTGATCCGCCATACTTTGACCCTCACGAAGCACGCACGGTTCTGATTGAAAAGTATTATATGCTAAAACATGCTCTATTTAAAGAGTAATTTTGAGCATTTTAAAAGGATTTTTAAAGGAAAAGAGTAATTTTGAGCATTTTAAAGACTTAAGAATGTGTACACATACGTCTTAACGTCCGTGCGCACGGTAGTATTAATACAGTGTCACAATCCCAACACATGTAACCGAAACGTAAGTTCCAGCTTCAGTACGTGCTGTCGGCGTGGAAATGAGCGTACAGCGTGTAAATTTTGGAAAGTTTTGGAAGATTCAAAAATGACCTGAAACGTGCTTTAAATTATCTGAAAAGTGATATTAACAATTTTAAAATTTTAACGCACAAGTACGAATACCTTATACGACGTGCCTGACGACGGTAATGGCACATGA